GGTCCGGGCTGGGGATTCGAACCCGCCACCTTAGGTGTACGTGGCTGGCACCTTAGCCAGTTGAGCTATAGGTGCCAAGCCCAGATTTTATTTTTTTTATCAGTGGAATGAATGGTGTTTGTTGGATTAGTGAGAAAGGTTGTGCAGGTATCCTGGCCTTGCCATGAGCAGGGTATAAGCAGCTCATACGCTCTGGAACAGCCCCCAGACCTTAGAGTTCTACTAGATTCTGTGTCCATTTGCTTAAGGAGAATTCTGTCATTTGACCAATTAACTGAATCCTGCTGCTACCTCCTTTATTATATCTGCTCAAGTGAAAGGACAGAGAGCTGAGACAAACCAGGTGGTCTGCTGCTTTAATTCCTGTGCTGACAGGCATATGTGTCAGAATTTAGTCTGCGACTTGCTTTCATCATGACAGGCCATCTGGTTGAGAAGTAGTGGGAGAGGAGACCCCTCTAACCACTAACAGCTGCCAGAAGGTGAAGGACCTAATGCTGTAACAGTGAATAGCCAGCTGTGCAGGCCAACTTGAGGGGTAGGTTTGAGGGCAGTGGTAGCAATGGATATAGAAAAATAAGAATGAGTAGGAGGGACCCAAAGGGGACCACAGTCAGCAAGATTGGGGGCTGATTATATATGACGGCCAGCAAGAGAGGATGTCAGAACCAAGACACGTGTCAATATGCATATCGAGATTAATAAGCTTATAAAATATACTTCACATAGCTTATCTGAGCCTCACAACAGCCCTGGGGGTGGGGTGGGCGGTCATTAGAAACAAAGGTGTGGCCAGGCAAGGTGGGAGGCCAAGGTGGGTGGATTGCCTGAGCTCAGGAGTTCCAGAACCAGCCTGAGCAAGAGCCAGACCTTATTTCTACTAAAAATAGAAAAATTAGCTAGGCATTGTGTGGGTGCCTGTAGTCCCAGCTATCTGGGAGGCTGGGACAAGGGGATCACTTGAGCTGAAGAATTTGAGTTTGCCATGAGCTATTACACCACAGCACTCTACCAAGGGTGACAAAGTGAGACTCTATATCAAAAAAAAAAAAAAA